TTAAACTAATCACACAAAATATGATCTCTCTCTCTCTCTCTCTCTTTAGGATACGTTCCTTATAAATAATTTAATTATTTTCTCAATAATTAAAACAGACTTCTTTATATATGTGAATAAGTTCAAACTGTTCTAAATCATATGTGACTCAGCAGACAGAGAACGCGTTAATTATCCAAAATACCCAAATTCAATCTGTTTTTCTCTATTCCGTCATGAATCACCTGCCAATTCACATCAATATTGAATCTGCTACTAAGTCTTCATAGATTTGAAATTGATGTTGTGGAGAACAACAGCGCTTTACCTCATTTCCATTGATCTGAACGATAAAAGATTCTTAAAATTACTAACTTTTTTCTGGAAATTTTTGGATAACTAGCAATGCACAGTGATACCAAACATTTGACCAGTAGTGTACTTATACATCGAATTACCGTAACGTGTTCGAATTGAAAACTCGAATCATCTACTCACCATTATCTGTTACAGGTGTCTGGCATCCACTGTGCGGTGAACTGACGTTCCCAACGGGGCTGCTATTGCCAGTCTGTTCCGGAATACCCTGCATAGCGACGTTCACGTTACTTCCAGCGTTATTAACTCCAGCAAGCCCGTAACCGACGTAATAATCCTGTCCAGGTGCTTGAGTGGTTGGCGCGGGATTAGACGGGCACTTATAGGTCATCATAGTCTCGTTCTCCTTATAAACCGACTCTGGATGATGCTGCTGATGGTCCTTCACGGAGAAACCGTCCGTACCTCTGTAAGACAACTGGTCTTGACTCCTGGCTGCGTAACCGGGTTCGCTTTTGAACGCTACAATTTCACCGTTTCTATACACAGACGGTTCTCCAGTTTTATACGTAACTTCCGTTGTCTTGTAAGTCACTTCCGCTATAGGTGGTGTCTTGTACGTGGTCTCAGGATAGGCCCAATCGGCCGAGACCGCGGCACCAGGTGCGTACATCGCGTATTCCTGGTAATTTTGATATTGATTCTGGTATCCGTTCGCGTACTCCATACTTCCAGGTGTCAAATTCTCGTATCCCGGCGTCTGAACGCTCACCGGACCACTTCCAGAGAAGTACTGAGGATACTGAGGCTTCAGAGCCTGACACTTGCGACGGAAGCCTCGTGGTCTTCGACGAAAACTTCCTTCTTCGAACATGTACTCCGTCGACGGATCGATCGTCCAATAATGACCCTTTCCTGGTCTTCCCAATCCTTTTGGTAGCTTTATGAAACACTCGTTCAGGCTTAGATTGTGACGCACGGAATTCTTCCAGCCTTGATAAGCGCCACGGAAGAAGGGAAAATGTTGTTGAAGAAAGGAGTATATCTCTGAAAGTGTCAACTTCTTTCCTGGACTCGATTGGATCGCCATTACGATCAACGCGATGTACGAGTACGGAGGTTTCTCCTGACGACGTGCTCCAGGTTTCCTCGGCAACTCTGTGTTAGTCGGGTTGCACATCAACGGATCTAAACTTTGATCCTGATTCAAGCCACTGGTCATGGACAAATTCGTCCGTGGTACCACTGTAGCGGAGTTCGAATGAGCGACGGTGGACTGATCTTGAAGATGCAAACTCGAGTCTGACTCGTTCTTCATCGTGATCCTCGCGTTGTCGATAGCACTTCCACGAGGAGTCGACGGGACAATCACTGTCTGATCCATGGAGTCCGATCGTCACGCGATGACAAACATTCTAAGAACTCGAACTACTGTCTATCCACTTCACTTCGATACGATATACTCCTACCGATACTCCTGTAAATTTCATACACACAGTGATCTCACAGTCTTTGGTACACGGTTAATTACAAGATGTGTATATATATATAATCCAAGATTCGTTAAGAATAATGAAACGTCCTTGAAGAAGAACGACGTTGCTTCACTCTCTTCAACTGACAATCGCGGTACTTGAAGAATGAACTATTTAACTATTTACGTTTGTTTCTTTCGTTCCCACCGCAAGTGGACGAATTCGCGTGGCGGCCACGCGTTTCCCCTGTATAATCACAATAAGAAGGAAGAGGAGAGAGGCCGTTATTTACGTGTGTGCCCGATGTAAATTGTTTGCACGGTCGGCGCGCACGGTGGGGTCAATTATTTAGACTTGCCACTTGGCAGACGTTGCGCTGATGCGCCGCTAAGTGTTTTCGGATGACTGGACCACGGGATGAACTCCGGACCTGGTGGAAGCTTGGTACGTCGCGATGACGCGAGCCACGCCGTCACGAGCCAGCCTCGTCCACGATGGGCGTGATTGCTCGAGGGGAAGCGACTCGATTCTTCATTCGTCGACGGACTCTGTACAGCGATAAAGCTCGAGTTAACGGCCAATAGGAGCTGCTCTAGAGTCGTGGTGCCACGCCTAACGATACCTAAGCTCCGGATAACGAGGACGATAATTGAGCATGCTGCGATCACTCGACGGGAGATTGTAATGAAAAAGATTGCATAACTTTCTCGGTTTTCATTGTTGCAGTGGGTCGCTGCTGGTGATTACTGTTTTGACGGTGGTTTAATTGCTGATGGTGAAGATACTGACGTAGTGGACGTTCGTGGTGAATGGAATTTCTATGGAAATTTGAAGATTTGAATTTCTTTGAATTAGTAGAAATGATTTTGTGAGTTATGAAAGTTGATAGTGTTAGCTATTTTTTTTTAAGTAAATTTAGGTGAATTTATCAGTGGATTTCTTTGGTACGGACAGTAGATTAGTTTCTGAGTGATTTTAAAAAATACTGGCTGTTTAAAAAAATTGTTCTTCTTTTAAAATATCAATAATTTTACAATCAATAATTAAAAAAAAAAAATGTTAACATTTATACGGAAGTACTTTTTTAGAAACAGAATTGATAACATAACATATCACATTAACATATGTATTTTATATTCAAAGAGTCTCCACTTGTTCGCCACCATTTTCAACATATTCTTGTACTCTTTCTTCTTTTGCAGAAGAAAAGAAAAGAAAATATGTACCTGTACAAATTCTCCATATAAGTGTCAATATATTTTTTTAAACACTCTGTATAATGCTCAGAAATGATCAAAAATTCTTCACTTCGTTCTTGCATAGTTTAATTTAAATAATTGTCTTTCGTAGTTTTCACGAATTGTAGATTTGTTGATTAGTCCTCTAAAAATTCATAGATTAATACAGAAATTCTTAAAGAAAATAAATTATTCTTTCATTCGAATACGTGATCTCTTTAAATTGTAACGATGTCACCAGAAGCGACAGTTCACGAGCATCGAATTTTACAATTGCAGGATACGCGCTTGCAGACGGTACGAAAAAGCTCGAAGAAACGATTGGTCCACCTGTTGGCCAACGAGGCGTTAGAGCCACGCTCCGCCCGACCATAGATCCGCCCTCCATTCTCTGTTTCGGGCTTCTCTCGGAACCCGTGCATCATCGATTATCCTGAAATTAGGGCCGATTATCTGGAAATTTTACCCGTGATGTCAGTTTCCGTCTGAATTTCGGCGTCATTCGGAAACTTCCGTTCTTAGAATACAAAATGTTCAATTATTATTCTCCGCTATTATTCCTTTCTATTTTCCTCAAAGTATCTTAACGAAAAAGCAACAAGTAATTAAAGATTAATATATGATAATTTATGAATAACACATTCGTGACGATCTTCAAATAAAATAAAAATTAAAATGAGTTATAAATTGTCATTTTAGAGTCGCCATGAATATTAGAATTGAACTAAATTAACTTTCTTAATTCTATAACAAAACATACTAACAATTTCTTTTCTTTGATTTATGTCAAATTATTGCACCAGTGCACAAGGTATAGGTAAGATTATATCTGGACGATAGGTGAGATATAAATTATGAGAATGCCTACATCCTAAGGGTACAGAAGGAATCTTTTTTTAACAGATAACTCCTTATCGCGAGGTTCTCCATCCTGCGGGCTAAGTCACAACGATCCGATTGTCAATTAACTCATTGGTCGCAGTCAATCGGAGCAAAATGTTTATACGTCGAAACACGTGACAGGGTGTCGAGTAACTTGGTCCTGAGAGAACAGAGGAGACCGCTGCTTATCAAGAATCGTGATTCTGCGTGCTCGAATTTGTTATGATTCTCGAATATAATCTGCATATAATTATCTTGATCAAGAGAAATTTCAATACACCTTCTAATAAGCTGAAATTAAATAATTTTTAAATTCTCTGATATAAAGTATCTCCAAAAATTAAATTATAAATTAAAATTTGAATCGAAGAGGAAATAAAATGAAGAATTGAAGAAAGAAAATTTTGTCATGATTCTTAAAATTATGAATTGATGATAAAATAAAAATTACGTGTCGAATATTTTTTCCTGGCAGTAGTTGGTTATATTTAATAAAGAGGTTCCACGAAACAGGGAAACCTGAGAATAGAGCATCGAGAGGGCAATTATTTAATGTCATCCAACGTCTGACCGACGATATCGTACGCCCTGCGCTCTCTAGACCACGAATTCTCATGGAGTTTGTTTGCCTTACGGTGAACGATCCGACGAAAGAGAAGCGTCACGGCCATCTTGTCTCTGCGCTCGAGCTGAAACCCTGCAACGGGTGTTCCTCGCTTCGTTTAACTCTTTACCGTGCTACTCAAACTGTATCCTACTATTTACTCCTCCTACAAATCCAATACAAACTAATTATACCGTACTGATGTAAACCTATTAAAAAATATACTCTATTCAAATATAAAAAAAACCTTTTGACTTTTCACATTGATAAATTATATCTTTTCACTTTGAAAATCGCTTCAAAGAATTTCAGACTTAATCTGATTTAGTAAGGTTGAACTTTTTTAAGATATCCTTGCACTTCAGAAAAATTAAAACGTCCAATAGAGGCTATAGTGTACTCCTTCAAACGTACTCTTAGCACTGGACCTCGTGCCTTAAGGGTTGAAACTGAAGTGCTCGTCCTTTCTTCATGGAGACCACCCTCTGTAGATAGTGGCGCCTAGCAGTGTTTACCATTTTACTGCTCCCAAGATTCCCCGTGACATTTTCTGCGACAGCTTCAAGTGGCCCTTGGGGGAAAAATTTTCAACTCTCTGAAACATCCACGAAGAAAGAGAAAGCACGGTGAAAAAAGATGTCTTACTGGAGTTTCTTAGTATACAGGGTGTACCGTGTAATCTGATTACCTTAAATTATTCTCTTATTAGTGAATCCATCGAAATTCATTTTACGTCGCATAATTTGGTTAAAAGAGACACTTAACATAATTATGCCTATACTTTTTATTACGTTTCATTTTCCTTTTTTTTTTTTATAGATGAATCTATAATTGTTTTACGTCCATGCTTTAGCAAATATTGAAACTATTTTCGAAATAGTGCTGAAAATAAAGAATAACAAATTTAAAAAATAGAAAAATAATTTGTTTCCATTATGAATTATATTCTACAGCATTTTTAAGGAAAAGTAAAAAGATTCTCGTGTCTCAAGTAGGACACTGGAAAATTGTACGTGTCAAGGACCTCTTTGAACAATATTACGCGACACAGAGAAGAAAGTTTAAATCGGTCCATTAATAACAGAGTAATTTAAAATGATTACGTTAGGTGGTTCACCCTGTATACAATAAGTTATCAACATCTCGTGCCACGTTTTCAAAAAGAAAACCATTATCGACGGAAGAATTCGATAATTATCTTTCACCGTAAGAAAATAAGCCTTTTAAAGCCCGCCTTGTGTCCTTTGAAGGCCTCCAAAACGACAAGTTCTTCCTTTCTCAATAAACAACGCGACTCTCCGTCGAATCGCGACAGTTCCGGATCAGTTTTTTTAAGATAAAACGCGGCGTGGAGAAAGACCACCCGAAGAAAACCCGTTACGGCCGCACGTGTTCCCGTAGGAAAACCGCAGACCGGAACCAGACATTGTGGCCGCCTGCCTCACGTGCACGCTACGAACTTTCCCGTCTGTTTACATCCGGCGGCGTGGCCACGAACCTTCGAATCCGAATGATTTTACGATCGTATCAATTTTCTAACGATTCGACGACGTAGAAAAATGTATCGAGTGACTTCCTTTCTTCGTGGAACTTCCATTTTCAGATTCATCGAGAGCAAGTTAATTTTGGTTCCACCGCGGTCGCTCAAAACAGCCGCTTTCCTCAAAATAGAGAATTATCTGCGGAAATGACGAAAGTAATTATGAATCTGGATCAAAAATCGACTTTTTACGGATGTGTTTACGAAGTCAAATTTGTCTTTGAAAAGTATAAAATGCGATTTTCGAAATTGCGAAATTTTTGGTGCTCCATCTTTGCAGTTGATTTTCACCTCTTCAATGTGGACGATTGTCGATATAAAAAAATACGTGTCTAATATTTTCTCGAGAATTAACGGTTATATCGATTTAATAAAATTTGTTTGCACATTTGTATATCGAATTGAGAATCATTTAGAATCTTACAGTGTGCATTCAATGTTTCACGTTCCGAAACTTCGATCGTGGACTTCTCTACAAGAGGAGTGAAATTTAAGGAAGTTCTTCTTTCGTTGTAGACTTGAAACTTTGAAAAGTATCGGATAGAAGTATCGTTTTTTCGGATATTACTCTGTGATATTCGCCAATTCGGTCGCGAACTTCCGTTTCGTCGATTCTTCAGCGATTTACGCGATCCGGCTGCTCGA